TATCATGAGACTAAAAGGAAACTACACCTCTGCAGTATTTTTTTCCCAAGAACCTTTAACTCACTTCACTCTCATTATGAACTAAACAATAGACAAAGCCAGATTGCGGGTATTCTACAGGACACCTGGCCACTATTTCTCAGGACCATCAGGGTCATGGAGGAAGAAAAAGAAAGATTCAGAAACTGCCACAGAGCAGACAAGTCTGGGAAGACATGCCAACCAAATGCCATATTTTGTCCTGAATTGGATTGTGGAATAGAAAGTACAGATTTTAGTTAATAGTAATGAAGCAATATCAGTTTATTTGACAAAGGTAGCACGGTAATATAAAATGTTCAGCAATTGGGAAAACTGGGTGAAAGGTATATAGGAACTTCCAGTAGTATCTTTGGAACTTTTATAAAAATCTAAAATTACTCCAAAATAAGTTTTTAAAAGAATATTTATTTGATTTTTAGAGATTTTACTTATTCACTTATTCGAGAGATGGAGAAAGAGGGAGACCATGGGCCAGGGGAGCGGGGGGATGACGGGAAGGCAGAGGAGGAGGGAGAAAGAACCTGAAGCAGAAGCTGTGCTGAGCATGGAGGCCCAGAGGAGCTTGATGCCATGACCTTGGGATCATGACCTGAGCTGAAACCAGGAGTAGGATTGAGCCACTCTGGCACCCCTTGATTTATTTATTTATATGAGAGATAGAGAAAGAGGGAAACAGAGAAAGAAAGAGAGAGAGAGAGAGAGAGAGAGAGAGAGAGAGAGAGCATGAGTGGGGGAAGGGCAAAGGAGACAGAGAAGCAGACTCTCTTCTGAACGTGGAGTCCTAACATGACGCTCTAGGGACCCAGAGATCATGACCTGAGCCAAAACCAAGAGCCAGATGCTTAAGTGGCTGAGCCACCCAGGCACTCCCAAAATAAGTTTAAAAAAAATCAGTCCCAAATACCAGATGATGCACGTATGAGGCTGCCTTAGGACTCAAGAAGTGTGCAGATAGATATCTAGCCAGATCACCAAATATGGGCACTCAGTGTTTACATGTCTCACAGGTTTAAATATCCTGCCATCAGAGCAGTGTCTTGTCCTGGCAGACACAATAAATGTGAATTGAGTGATTATGTTCTCTTGCCATAATCTTTCTGTGATATTTATCAGTGTTTTCAACACTGTTTTTGAAAGTGAGAAAGGGAGTTGGAAGGCTTGTGTACTATAAAGTGAAAGCCACAGGTGAGAGAGGTCAGCTGGCTTTTGGACCTGCAGATGAAAGAGCAGCCAGTGTGCCTGTAGTATGTCTCGAGCAACAGCAACCGCAACAATCAGAGCCATCACTCTTGGAGAGAATGCTTGTGTGCCAGACTTTGTACCAGTGGTTTCATCTACAAGATTACATTGCACCCTCTAATTCTATGAGGCTGCAATTATATTCTCATTTTAGAGCTGAGAGATAGGATCATCAGAGAGATTATTTATTTGGTCAAGGTTCCAACTGTGATTCATACACAAACATGTCTGACTCTTCCACCACAGTAGTAAATGAAAGACAACGGAATTCCATTAAAGCAACTGTCTAAAGAATCCTAATATCATTAATCTTTGCCAGAGAATAATGTAGTGAGATGTTATATACTATACATTATACAGGCTTATAAACATCCATAGAATTCCCATTACACTGAGAAAGTGTAAAAGGATAGTTGAACACTATACTTGATAAACAAAAAATGTTAGTCCTCTCCTACCTTTAGAGGCTACCCCTATTTTCAATTAGTTTCAAACTGGTTTTTGCTTGTATTTTAGGGCCTACACCTGTATGAATTATCAGGGCAATTCAAAAGCACAGAGTAAGCTAATGCCAGAAGTCAAGTTTAGCCAGTTTACACAGGGTAGAGTTCAATCTTGGCCAGGATCAGTTATTCTAGATATAAAAATACACGTTGCATCAACAAAACTCCTTTGGAGTTAGAACTATAAGAGATTTTCAATAACTAACCACCCTCTGTCTAGACTACATGATTACATGCTTTTTTAAGGACTCATTTATCTACTTCATTCAGATTATGGGAGTAAGTTTCTGCGATCATTATGGATTTACTTTAAGGATTTTTAAAAATGTTTTTCTTTATGTTCTGCCTTTTAAGCTGAATAGACTTTCCTCTTGGACATCATAACCATTATCTTGAGGGTTAATAATTCATAAATCCAGGAATGAGATTCTAATTATTTTAAGTAAGTCTGAAATTTACTGGCAAGAGCCAGGGAAGGGACTGGTATATATTAACCCTCTTTAAGCTATTATTTCAGGGGGACTGCTCCCAGGCTAGTTGGAGCTAAATGGAAGAGGGATGGTAAGTCTTTGAAATAGTGTAGTCATCTTTATCTATGCTAAAATAAGCAAGGTAATTAAAAGAGCTGCCATCCTCTAATTACCAAGGAGTCCTGCCTTATAGACGGAAGTGGGACTTTGTTAGACAACAAATATTCGAGCTTGTAATCGAATACAAACAATGATCCAGACACATGAGCAAGATCCATTAAACAGTGATGGCAAACAGCCACATGCTGCCTGGATGAATCACTTGGTGTATCATCAAGAAAGGGAACTAATTTTTTTTTTGGGGGGGGGACTAATTTTTAAACCCAATAATGCAGTACTGCTCTAGTTCAGGGTTTGTATGTTGACAATAAATAGATGGCTGAAGAGGATTCACTCCCTTTGTGATGCAGGTCAGAGTGCAGTCCTCAAATCCCTTTTGTCTATATGTGTTCTATGCATTTTATTTAATTGATGCTTCCGAAATAACAGATCTATTTTGGCATTGTATGTCACAAATGGACTTGAACTGGTTTTCATCTTTATACTGAATTTGAGCTCTGCTAGTCTTCCTGTGAATCTGTAATTGGTTGCAAGTTGGAATTAGGCAAGAGAGTGAGGGTAATAATCAAATATATAACCCTGAAGGACAAACTTCCCTGAGCAACCACAGTTTAGGTGCATCACAACTACATATTCAATGTGGAATGTCTGAGTTGGCCATCTTCACTTCACTTCACTTCAGACTCAAATCTTTAGAGCAAGTTAACTTCTTGATTCCCTCTTTGAGTGTTTGTCCTGAGACCCATAGACACTGCTGAATTTACTGGATTTAGATTTATACCAAGTCATCTCCCCCAATTTGATATAAGAAGTTTCCTTACAGAGAAGTCGTATCACAGAAGATATGATGAGTAAAGCACCTGCCAGGAAATGTCATCTTCTTGTAAAAACTCAAATCACAATTACCTCTGTCAATGGTGGACAGATAATGTCAGAGAAGAGATAGAACAGATCATTGAAATCCACAGATAAGCCTCAAATCCCATTTCAGCCCCAAATTTCAAATGCTTCCCTACTCCCAACCAACTTTGTTTAGAGTCTATGGTAAGCTGAAAAATATTACTGACTTGAGTTCCATTCTTTATTTTTTTAGTTTTCAAAAATTATAAGCTTTTTGTCCATAAGTTTGGAATGAGAAAGGACATAGACACTCTTCTTTAGAATTAGTAGCCTTTACAAGTCCATTTAAGTTACGCAGTAGCTAGCTACACCTCCCAATGCAAACATGTATGTCCATTGCATTATGAGTTAAATTAGATTTTGTGCTAGTCTGTCACTTATAATCTCATTTGTATTAAATATATAATCTGTCATTCATAGAAGGGAGAAATACGGAGGGTCAGGGAAGTACTTCTTGACTTCAAACTTTCCAAGGAGAGGAAATGAGAGTGAAGAACAGAGAGGGAGAAGGCTGGAGAAAAACTAGAAGGTATTGATGTTTAAGGAAAAGAACCAGAAGGGCTGAGGCAACTGAAGTGGCAGAGAGAATTCAGAGAGGAGGAATTTCACAGAATTTGCTGGGATGTTCAGTGGTTGGGCTACCAGTTGGGCTACCAGGGAAATAGACCCCTTGCTCACTGCCACCTCCAGAGTGGAAAGTCCCTCACTGACCCCCCAGACTGACCCGGGACTTCAGGATTTCCATCCATGAAATCCCACTCCAGATCTCAGGTTCAGAATTACAACTTGGAAGTCATTATCCCAGGAATGTGTCCCCTATGTTCTTTCTGCCAGTTTGAGCTATTTGTGTCTTCTATTTTAAGTTTATAAACCTCTGGTTCTATGTCAAATTCTTTTTGTTCTTTTTTGGATCCCTGCCTATGCCCTGGGATACTGGTCCTGATCTTCTCTGACTTTACTGCATTTCACTATTGGCCTCCGTAGTTATAACAGAGCCCAGAACCCTAATATCTAACACACCTGCGGTCTTCACATCTTCTGGCCTACTTTACTTAGTTACCTCATATATCACAGTACAGACAGGGAGCCAAATGTAAGTGGAATGTAAAAAGTGCCCAATAAATACTGAATGATAGACAAGATGAACTAAAAACTAGCTATGCATTTAAAGAAGCATGTGGAAAATATGAACATTAAGAAGTATTCATTCTTTGAGTCAACTTAAGATTTCAGAACAATGGCATCTCATCATCCATGAGTCACTTTATCATGACACTGAGTATTCTGTGGGCCTCTGACATTTATGCAATCACATAATAGCTAGAAGCATTGGACATGTCTTTGCAGATGACTGGCACACCTGCATGAAGAACAAGAATAGTATTTGGTAATGCAGACATTTCTAGACATTGTGATACCATATGACACTTGCCAACTTTTTGCTTCCTCATTTTAGGTGAGCCTGAGCCTAAAGTGCTTAACAAACCAACAAATGCTAACTTGGCATCTCCAGCACAATAATTTTATCTTGCTACTTTCCTTTGTTCAGTTCCATTTTCTTTAGCCCATATGTCACCACTTGGGGTTCACACATTACTGTGCTTCCCTTCATTTCCCTAACCATTGTTTTCAGACACAAGATGAATCTATTCATCAAACCAAGGAAGGTCAAAAAGCTGAAGATAGGCTGATCACATGAGATCAACTTTAGGCCTTTCCAACTTACAAGCTTCCCGAAGTTTCTCTTTGTCATAGTGGAATCCTTCATAGTCTTGTAAACTGATTTTGTTCACCCGGATCCTCAGGCGGTCTGGGACAGATTGGGGACTGCAAAACAAATGAGAGAGTGGAATTGAGAGTCACATACACTTGGGAGAACTAAAGCCAATAATGTTTCTTCATGCTTGGGAGAATAAGTTCTCATTCAAACCAGAATTGGAGGTTCTTTACCACAATTTGGCCATTATCTGGAGAATACATCTCCAGAAACCTCAAGTTTCTGGAATTTAGGTAAGAACATGGAAATAAGCAGAAAAAGCTTCTGGAAGCCTCTCCTGTCCTGTTTACTATTAACTTATTAAAAATTCCAATAAGCTCATGTGCTTAGTTCTGCAATAAATTAGACATAGCTAATCTGAAATTGTGAGACATGGCACAGAGCTGTAAAAAACTCCTCTAGGAAAATATGCCCTTGTTAGCCAAATATAACAGTCTGACCCTCAAAAGAGCCAAAAAACAAACAAAAACAAAAACAAAAAAACCTCTAAAAAGCAGACCAAGAATTAAGAAAGCATATGACCGAGATCAAAACAGCTCTACGTACCCCAACAGTCTGAAGGAACCTCTCAAAGTTTAGGACAATAAATTCTGCCTGTGATAGTGATTTTTGAGTACCCCAAAATGAAGAAAAAATTTTAAAATTTGTATAATGTACTTTCTTTAGAAAGGGAATGAAGTTGTAATTCATTTTCAAAGAACTCAATCCAAATTGGTTCAAGATAAATGTTAAACAATTAAAAGAGGGTAGTACCAAGGTTTCCAAATCATCCTGTTCACTTATAGAATGCCTTGGGTTTTACATAGTATTTTTCAAAGCAGTTTAATCATTGGCATTAGTTGAGTGAAACAATTTAATTTTCATCATCACCATTATGGATCAACGCATTTCTTCAATATATTAATACAACACAATCCCCATCTGTCCTTCAGTATTACTTTATACTTAGATTTCATTGGTTCAGATAATTTTAGCAAATAGAAGATTGCTTCTCCTTTCTTGTATTATGGAATAAAAATCACTATTGACCAAAGTAGAAAGAATAGCATTATTCTTCATTTCAGTAAAGAAGGGAAAAAGGAAAGAAAGAGAAGAAATAGTGAGAAGGAAGAGGAAAAAGATAGATGGAAGGAGGGAGTGATAAAATATTGTCAGGATACCATGACCCCCACCTCGAACACATACATACATGGAATTTCACTGCAATTCTGGAAGAAGGGAAAAAATAATTCAATCTCATTCTCTTGCCTATCACCTTATCTTAGGGAAAGTATAATTAACACCCTCCATATAGATTCCCACTCTAATACCCCCAAAACAATATATAGATCCAACTATGGATTCATATGTGCACACCCATATGTAATTCTCCTCCTCCTCCCCCCACACAAAGATAGTTAGATACAAGAGCATAAATCCTAAAGATAAATGGTGGACAAATAAAAATGTCTGAGGTTCACTGGGTTTAAAACTAAGCTAATAGGAAATGACAAGATGGATAATTCTGAGAGAAAGTTTTGAGAAGACAAATCAATAGACTAGTCCATTCAAAGTGTGTCTGTCGGGTGCCCACTTTGTACTGGGCATTGTGCTGATTATGGAATAGGCATTGACAAATAAAACTGGTAAATTGAGATGGGCAATAGAATTTAAAGGCATGTTTTGAATTAGTAGAACACACCTTAAATATCATATATAACCTTACCATCATTTACAGACAGGGAAGCGAAGGTTCAGAAGGGTAAAGTGATTTTACGGTCACATAGCTACTAAGTGGAAGAGCTGGGAGCAGAGTCTTGGACTCTTCACTCATCAGTTTCATGCTTGCTTTATTATGTGATGCCAAGAATCCTGTGGATTTGACAGCAAAACCAGAGAGCCTGAATTAACACAGTCAAATAATCTCTATGTGGTGTTCAGACTGTTATCAATAAGCAATCAGCTGGGGGAAAATTATGTAAACTGTGGTATATTGAAACAAGAGAACACTGGGGATTTACAAATGAGTGTCTAGATCTACATTTGTTTAAAGGAAAGGCTTACCATAACACTGTGAAGTGAAAAAAAGTCATGGAAAATTATATCTGGAATAATCTCCTTCATGTAAACTGTGGAATCAGCATTTGTATTTGTATACAAATGTCTGGAGTGAATGTTCAGTGAGCTATCCCAACCAGTTATCTCTACATGATGGGATTTAGGGATTATTTTACTTTGAGTATCATCGTTTTTAGAAAAAGATTTTAAAATTATGTCAATGTATAAATAAATGTTAACTCAGAACCAGAGTAAAAATAAGAATTACAGTAAAGAATGTTAGATATTAGATGTGAGTAGATAGGAAATGATAGGAAAGAATTTAAGCAATTAACAGAGTGATCATACAGTATTTATACCAAATGCTCATTCCTCAAATTAAGAGGAGTCTTATCTTTTCATTTTCAAGTTTACCCTAGTGACCTGAAAAGATTGTAATTAGGAAATATTTCCCCACAAGTACATTAGGTAAGAGGGAAGTGATAAGCAGAGAATGTGGTGACCCACCAGACCCTCTGGGGAGAACAGAAGTTGAAAGAGCTCTACTTCAACAAATTTTGAGATTACTGTAGAATTAATGACAGCAACCTCTAGGATCCTCTAGCAGGCTAGAGGTATCAGGAATAAGACCTGGGTCCAGCAATAGCTATAGAGTAGAAAAGAGGATTCAGAGAATGACTATAGACCAGTCACTGTACACCTTTCCCCCAGGCGCTCCCCACTAGCCAACCGGTGTGTCCTGCCTTTCTCATGGTTCAGCCATGCCCACTCCCTGCCCACATGCTTCTGTTTCCCAGCTTTATATCTTTGCCCACCAATTTCAGCCACACTGTGTTGCCTCCTGAGCCACAGTCTCCACCAATCTTCCTGACCTGACAGGTGTCCGTGTCAGGTATGACCTGACACGGACATACAATAGGAGCTGTCATTTGAATGGACCTTTCCAGATCCAAATGAATTCATGTATTACCTCACTTCCCCTCCAGAGTGATCAGCTAGGCAGGAGACAATAAAATGGAGACTCTGGAACTGCCTGTTACTCTCCCCCATCCCACCTTCTTAGACACTCACTCCCTTGCTGTCGGCACCCATCTGTTCCAAACGACCTACAAGGCATCCCACGTTCCCACCAGCCGCGGCTTGCTTGCTTAAACATCCTTCTGACTGAGGTACTTGGTGTTTGGCCTGCTATCAAATGTTGGGGACCATCAGCTAATTTTAGGGCAATCATGGGGTCCATCGTGGAAGTCTCCTTTGAATTATTTTGGATCCTGGACTAAAGTAGGCAGCTCAGCAAAGTGTAAGAGCTCAGGCTCTGAGTCAGGTCGCCTAGATGTGAAGTACAGGTGTTCCAATTACCAGAATCAGGAAACCCTGTGTTTTCAGAATCCTCACCGGTAATGTAGAGATAAAACAAGATCCACTACACAGGTTTCTTTCAATCCTCATAACAGACTCTCCTCATTCCAACATTCTCACATGAATACTCTTTATGGACAAAGATACTATGAGGATTAAATGAGTCAATACCAAAAGATGCCTGGCTCATTGTAAGTGCTCAGTAGATACTAGCTATTATCAGTTTAATCATTATTCTGACAACTACTCCCCTACATAAGATTTTGCTAATAAACAATAGCATCTGCTGCTGCCAGGTAGTGGAAGAAGTTCAGGGGTGTGCTGGGCCTGCCTAGGCACTTCTGACAAGCAGCTGGGCTTTCTCTGAGGGGAAATGGTCTAGCCTGGATAGGGCCATCATTCACCTGGATCTTCTCCCACAGGTATTTTACAGGCCAACCAATAACTTGAAAACAGACAACTAGAACGTGGGGAAGATAAAATACACAGACATTAAGTGAAAGCCAAGCAATTCAATTGTGTCCCTTTATGTCAAAATATATTAATCTCCCATTAATGGCTGAGTGGAGGTGGACGATGACAAAGCTGTTCCTTGGAGTCTGGGGAATAGCAGTGCCATTAGCTTTCTAAAATTAAATTTTCCCAAGAAAGTTAGTAGAGCATAGAAGAGATGAACTCCTGGATAAAAATGAATTTGCCTCCATGCCAACATCTACCACAAACTATTCCTATACTGACGTAGGCTCTGTGGTAGGGGTTCTAAATCAGACTTCTGTCGAAACACTCAAGGTTCTGAAAATGGACTCAGCAATCTTTGAATCCCTCTGAAATCAGGACAGTGACCTCTACCTATTACCTTATCACAAATTTCCTCTGAAATGTCAAGATTGATTTTTCTGCACATGTTGGAAGTTCATGACTCTGAACATAACTCCTAAAGGTCCCCATGACAACTCCCTCAAGAACTGCCATAAAAGAATCTCATTAAATTCATGCATTTTGGCTCCAGACCATGCCTTCCCATAGCCACATTATACACACCTGTTACCCTGAGGCACTGGTGGGGGAGGACGGAGGTGGAGCACCATCCAGACAACTCCCAGAACACTCAATGCTATTCAACTTACACCTTCCTTACTACACAGTCCTCATAACAGAATCTCCTCATTCCAACCTTCTCACATGGATACCCTTTATGGATGAAGAGAATGAGCTGAGGGCTTTTGTTCCCCAGGGTTACTTCAAGGCCGGCAACACCACAGAATTCATTCTCATTGGAAACAAATCATGGGATCCCTGGGTGGCGCAGCGGTTTGGTGCCTGCCTTTGGCCCAGAGCGTGATCCTGGAGACTGAGGATCGAATCCCACATCAGGCTCCCAGTGCATGGAGCCTGCTTCTCCCTCTGCCTGTGTCTCTGCCTCTCTCTCTCTCCCTGTGTGACTATCATAAAAAAAAAAAAAAGGAAACACAAATCATATGGGAATAATATCCTTTAATTTTAGGACACTATAACACAGTGTGCAATGCAAGAAGGAAACTCAGAAAAATCTTAGTTCCAATCTGAACGCTGTCAATTAATATGTGTTTGACATTGAGAACCCTAAAGTTACCTTTGCAAAAACATTCTCTGACCTGAAAATGGAACTGATAAT